AACTCAACAATTTAGCCATCAAATTAGGACAGAGGAATAAAGGTGCTTATTGACAAACTACAAACATGCTTCACTGTGACAATTCTTGTATAGACTGCTATTTTAAACAACTTTTCAAACGAAAATATTGCATATATTTATTTTTAAATACAACAATGACATTTCATATGATTATTTACAAAATTTTATGTAACAGATAATTGGGATTAAACATTTACTGTGCTGAATTACGGTACTAACCATGCTTTAGAATATTAATAATCTACAGAACTTTATTTTTTTCTTTTATCTCGCATGCAAATCATTATGCGACAACCCTCCATGAAGAGGAGTGTGACACACCCTCCTGATGCATGTGACTCCCTCTATTCGTTGTACTGAACTATCACCCATTAGGCAGTTATATAGTCCAGACATTTTTCTCTTTAATATCATTATATGAAGTGGAAAGATCATTTATATCTTTTACTACCATTTTATTTTTTAAGGTTTTCAGTTATAACTTACATTGTTAATGTTACCACTTCGGAGATTCTGCAACCTGCTATCAGCACAATTATACTGGCTTCTGGTTAGAGGAACTCACTCACTAAGGAATTTTTGTCCTTAATTGAACATTGAACATTATGTGAGTTGTCCTTCTTCTCCCAACAGTGCTTGACTTCCTCCTGAACCTGTCAAATCTCTTCATGATGAGGAGGATTTTGACAGTTTTTTTCCTCCTCCCGATTATGCTGTGCCTTCCCACATCTCTCCTGTGGAATCTGCTAGGTCTAATTCATCCCTTTTAAACATGATTTCTCAGGTTTGTTCCATTTTATTCATTTCCCCAATTTCTAACAATTCTGTACCTTCATTATTACATGACACCCCTTTCTCTCAGTATTTTGTTTTCCCTCTTTCTCCTGATGTCGGGGTTCATGTTGAGCATTTTGTTTCTCAGTTGCGAGCTGGTGCTAGCATGCCTCACCCTCCATGGGTCATGGATCAGTTTGCCTTGTCTTACCATCAATCAGATTGCTCCTTTCTTGACTCTCAGCAGTTAGAATCATTAAAACCATTATGGGGCTGACTCTGACGATCCTGTCTCTTTATCCCAGGCCAAGTTTTCCTGCCTTCATATTATCCTTCTGACTCTTCTGTGATACTTTCCCACCATACACCTTTCTGAGGCACTCCACCGATCTCCTGAGGGATTTTTTTTGGGGGGGATACCTTCTCCCTCCTTGCCTTTACATTGGTGGTGATTGTCCTTCTTGGCTCTATTTCTTTACACATGGTGTTGGGATTTTCTGGGGAAGGATGCTGTCTTGTTTATCATCCACTTGCCTTCGGGACTTGTGAATGGCTCATTTTCTCGATGGTCTGTTTTGGGTAATATTCCTGAAACTTTGGAACCATGTGTGGAATCTGAGAAGTAACATTTGACTCGTTGAAAGAATGTTTAGTACTACCATATATACCTGGTTTATCTTGTTCAATAATGAAAAACATTTAAAAACAAATAAATATTTTTTCGATATACAAAAATAATATTAGTATTTTACCTTTAGTAGAACATGCTAGTGAAACTAATCACACAATTCAATGGGAATTTTTTTTATTTTAGCACAACCTGAAAATTTAATTGGCATGAATATATGTGAATCTATTGAGTTAATCAAATGTAAAAAAAGTAAATTTAAATTATTGAATAAGGATGATGAACCTGATGGAAATGTTGTCAGCAGATGATGTGAAATTCTTTAATATATAAATTGGTGTTTTGATAATTGTATAAATAAGTGTTATTTCTTGCAAAACATTATACTCCTGAGGATGACGCAGTGGTATATGTCGAAACATGTAGAGTGTATGAGATTGTTTTCAAGTTTCATCAGGGTTGTTTACCACTTTTTATCTTGTACAGTAAGTTATTGTATTTTAAGAATTTGGAGACTGGAAACAATTTCATTTTTATAAAACTGTGTATAAAATAATCGAGTGGGTTGGATTATCAAGTTGGAGAAGTTTTTCCTGTCCCCTACCCAATATCTTGTCCACTTGGGGATCTTTTTCAACTCCCGCCTCAGTTGGGCCCAATTTTCTCCTCTTCAACTCCATTTCATGGAGCTTTCTCTCCCCTCTATTACCAGTTGCAAGGTTCTATCACTTTTGGAGATGTGAGACTGTTATCCCCTTGAGTCGGGCACATATGGGGTCTCTTCAGTGAACTCTGCAAGACCAATGAAATCTTGTTCTGGATCTCATGGATTCTCCTATTATTCTTCCTCCTATCACCGAGTGATCTTACCATATTAACACCTTGGAGCTTCTGGCAGTAAGACGTACTTTGGATCACTTTCAGGAATATACTTGCCCTGATCCATTGTGACAATTCTACAGTGGTAGTTTATATCAACCACCAAGGTGGTACTTGTTCTCATTCTCTTTGGGGTCAAACTTTAGATATATTTTTTTATGCCCACATGCTTGGGATAAGTCTCCTGGCATATCATGTTCCAGGTGTTTTCAATTTTGTGGTGGATCACCTTTTGATACCAGAAAAATATTTATCCCATGGTGGGTATGCTCATAGTGTGATACTCCTCAACTGAATGAATTTGCCACTTTCCTCAATTACCAGTTTCCTCATTTTGGTCTCTGCACTGTATGGCCATGATGCCATCAGAAAATACAATATTCTCATGGCCAATAACATACACTGTTGAGATGGGGTGTTCCAAAAGATTGCTAATATGTTTTTCCCTCATGATATATTTGCTTCATTAATACTAACCCATGGACTTACATGGGTAAAGCAGAAAGCAATAGCACCCCATCCCTGCCATCCGTTTGACTAAATAAATCAGGGGCAGTCTGCATTTATAAATACGGTTTTCATGGTCACCTGTTGCACTGTTTATGATGTTCCTCCAGATTGTCCACCATGTTTCATTCCCCCATGTTCTTTTCATGTAGTATTGGAGTCATTGCCACTTTCCAGTTTCGAGCCGCTTGGATGGTGGACAATGTAGGTTACCTCCTAAATGTGATCTAATGCTAATAAATAAATACTCAACATCCATTCATTTGAGAGTAGGGCAGTGGCGTTCTGCTGATGTAGATGATGCTGGTCCTCCATTCATGTGCTCCATCTCTGAATGGTGGGCTCTGAGGGTTGATGTTGCACCTGGTTTCAGTGACTGTCCTAAGGGTGAGGTTGCATATCATTTATAAGGACAATCCACTTCTGGGCAGTGGCATCCAGAAGTTTATGATGTGCTTCAATGCTGTACGGTCCTGTCTGAGGGGATGATGTTGCATAAGTCTGCTTGTAAATATGCTCCATCTCAGTGTGGTGGGCTCCGAGGATTGATGTTGCTCCCGACTTCTGTGTGGTAATATGTGGAAGTTTGTGATGAGCTTCATTGCTGTACAATCTTGTCTGAGGAGATGATGTTACTTTGGAATTGGTCTGTCTCATTGCAGTTACCCCTTCAATTGGGATCCCTCATCCTACCATCACATGAATATCAGTTCTTGGTGAATGGTTTTGAGTTTTAAGTGGGACCAATCAAAGGTCCTCACACATGTGTTGCCTGTGTTTTTTCTATTCCTCACTAATTTGCTTCATTATCACACAAATCAAGGAGGATAATGTTGAAGAAGGCGACGGTTCCCCCTCTGGTGCTCCACCTCAATGAGTTTTCACAGCCTGAGGTTGCTGTTACACAGTGGGGTGCATCTCAGATTGAGTTTTAATATGATGTGACCTCCCATAGGGGTACATCTCCTACTGCCATCATATGGATGTTGGGTTCCCAGATGTCTAATTAGTTGTGGATTGTGCACATGTGCCCATTTTGTGGATCGATTTGCACAGTATAAAATTCTGTTCTATTGAGGCCTGACATGGCCAGGTGGTTAGTGCACTTGACTCACAATCTGAGGTTTATGGGTTTGAATCCCCGTCCCACCAAACATGCTCACTCCTTCAACCATGGGAGCATTATAATATGATGGTCAATTCCACTATTCCTTGGTAAAAGAGTAGCACAAGAGTTGGTGGTAGGTGGTGATGACTAGCTACCTTCCCTCTAGTCTTTCACTGCTAAATTAGGGATGGCTAACTCGGATATCCCTTGCATAGCTTTGCGCAAAATTTAAAACAAACAAACCAAACCATTGTATTGAACATGAGGTGAAGATAGTGTGAACCCTCCTCCTACAATGGTTCGAGGTAACATTTCCGATATCGCTTTGTTTTGGATAGGAGTTAACCTGCCACATAAGGTCTATCGCAACCTAGCCACTCTTCACCTTGGACCACATCCAGTTTTGCTTTCCCCCACATTACCATCTGTAGAGGATTCATCTACAGTCTCTCTTCAATGGGACTGAGGTTATGATATCATGTAGTTCAGATTCCAATCCAACTGTTTTTTCTCCCTTTTGGTTGTGCTCCTCAATTTTTTTCTGCCAGTGCCTATGAAACCTCTTTTCACACTGGGCAAAGAGTATACCTGGAACAGAAGTGGTGCATTCTCCCATGTATGATTCTTTATTACGAGGATCATCAGTATAAGGTGTTCTTCTTTTTATCCCTCACACTGGTCCCTGCACCTCTTCAGTGTGGGATTCTAGGTATATATGTGAGAGGAGGTATTGCACCATATTTGAAGTTATAATTTTTCTATACTGAATATATATTTCTGATAGGTACCTACCTCATCTCACACTTCCCATCCTTTCTCCCCACTGAAAACCAGTGTTTCCTTTTCTGCCTAAACTCAAAGTGATAGCGTAGTAAAATCGAATAGAAGGAGTCACATGCATCAGGAGGATGTGTGGGAGTGCAAAGCTTGTGGCATGCAAAAAATGTTTTCATATAGAAGGCAGCACTTAACAGGAACAGCTATATATGTGAGAATATGTAAGTACCTGTCAAAAATATATTTTCAGTGTAGGAAAATTATAACTCTAATACATGTTTTAATTATTGTTTACTCATATTGAAGGATGCTGGTTTTTTGGTGATGGCAGATCTAACTTTGGAAACTAAACCCTGTATTAGTTCCGATGAATTTTCATATCTCGTAGGTATGTAAAAAAATTATTTAATTCTAAACATATTTTAGTTGAAAGTTTTAGAATAATAATAGGTAAATACACATTCCTGTGTAAAGTAGTTTACAATAAAGTTTAACTCTGCACTAACAGAACAATACCTAAAATAAATAGAAACTAGTTTTGACATATCATCCATCCTCTTGAGTCCAACATGGGACTGAAAAGGACATGAAATGTTGAAAATAGTTTCCACTTAAATTTGATGTTGTTCTGTTGGTGTGGATTTAAACTTTATATAAAATAGCATATGTTATATTCACTTTATCATAAACATGTATGAAAATGAAATATAATAGGACAAAACAAACTGGTGTATTATAACTATAGATATACTTTATATTGGAGATTCTATAAAGCTCTTTATTTTTTGTCTCCATAAGTTAATTTATCCTGGTATATATTTAGATGCATCTCTTGTCACGCTAAAATCCTTTTTTAGTTATTTATGCTGACAAAATATTTTCAAAAGTTTGAAATATTCTTAGAACTATTAAATTCATAAATTATAACTAATTTTTATGTTAACCATTTCTTTAATTTTTTAGAATAGTACATTAAAATTGACATTATTAATTATAACTAATTTTTATGTAAATTATTTCTTTACTTTTTTAGAATAGTACATTAAAATTGACATTAATAATTTCTATGTTTGATGGAATATTTTTGATCATGTAGAGATGTTATTTCTTTTGCTCAATGTTGTAAATTTGAACTGTTGCAGGTAAAAGAAATAGCTATAACAATAGACATAAGTCAGCTATGGAAAACCTAAATACACATTTTTTCAAAACTCTGTTGTGGGATTTGGTACAAGTAAAGTAAGTAACTTGTTATAATGTTTCTGAATCATCAATTATAGAAAAAATAATATTTTAAGGAATTTCCTTTCCTTTCATGGAAGTGGCAATATTGTTTTTTAAAGGTTTTTTTAAAGGTCTTTCTAAATTATAGTTGGTTAGTTATACCAAAGTGAATATATCAAGTTATAAAAAACATTAGTGTATTATTTTTTATTCTGTATATGTTTATGTTTTTATAAATGTGTTGAGACCATATTTGTAGATCTATGAGTATGTCTGTTCTAAAACTTCTCAGGGTCAGTTAACTAGAAGTGTTGATTATAAAACAATTCTAAACATATCCACATCTGCTTATCGTTCATAAAGTGTCATGTTCTCAGAGCAAATACATTTGTTGTGGTATTGGTTATAAAATTTCATCTTTTGTAGTGGAAAAACTGAAATTCATCACAATGTTCCTAAAGAAACAACTAAGTGGAGTGCAAATGCTGTCTGTTTGAGTGATATCTCTGGCATTGGAATTAGTGAATTCGTCAGTGCTGAAGTTCACAAACCATTTTATCTGGGCCTTACTACTCCATACTCCATAGTTAGTGGTGAAAGTGTAGAGCTGAAATCTTTCGTGTACAATTACTTGCCTGATTGCCTTCCTGTAAGTTATAATTCTGTTTACAAAATTTAGTTTTTTAGTACAGTAGCTGTATATTTACTGATTTCCTTTTATTAATAACCAATTAATGAATATCTTAGCAAATATTGCAAGACAGAAAAGGAGAGTACTTTGAAATAAATGTTGTTGTTAGTCTGATTGAATTCTACTTCAGACCAAAGAAATCAAATTGAGTTTATCATCTCAGAATTTGTAGTGTATATTGGAAGGATTTACACATTTTGATAATAAAATTATAAAAATATGACCTTTATACTCAAGATAATTATAAGAAGACTTTTATTTTAACTGATGTTTTGCCTTTGCAGCTTCTTCAGGGTTAGTACATAAAACTGCTTGATATTACAGTATATGTCAAATTATAAGCCTGCTCATGCTACTATCTTAAAGTTTATATCAGTTTATAATACTTTGTTCTTCGAATAATAATTTATGTTTTTTTTTATTTGACAGGAATAAACTTCATTCTTCTACAGAAATAGCCCATGTATAAATGTTAGTTTTGTGTAAAATGTTATTGATTCTTCTTCATTAATGGAAATTATTTGAATTGGCTGAAACTGTCAGGATGAACTCATTTAGAAAAAATAAATTATTAAAGGAACTATAAGAGGTTTGGAAAATTAGTGTTTTATTTAATATAAAATGTAATTTAGATTAATTTGTAGTTCCCTGTGATGATTGGAATGTTGTAATGAAGTATTGTTTGAAATTTGTTATTGGTATTCAATTCCAAGCCCATTTATCTGAACACCTCCACCATACAAAACTAATCAAGCTGTAACACTGCAGTTTTATCAGATAAACATATCTAGTGTAGTATTTCTAAATGTTACTTTTTTTTTTCTGATTTAGTTAACATTGGTATTGACATCAGAATACTCTGAGCAGTTGAAGGCACAAGGTAAAACTACACAGTCTATTTGTGTTTGTGGTAATGAAAGTAAGACAGTCAACTTCAAGGTCAAAGGCCAAACCCCAGGAAAAGCCATTGTATCTGTGAAAGCATTGTCTAACAAAGATAAAAGTCAGTGTGACAAAACATCAGTGTCTGACAAACATTTTGAAGATATAGTTTCAAGGAATATTCAAATTGAAGTATGCATGATATTTTAAGTAGTAATTACAATTTATAAACTTTGTTATTTCACTGTATCATTTTCTTAATCATTTAAGTTGCTATAAATAACTATGTAGAGTTATCATTTACAAACAGATTCTCATAGTAGTATTTGTATGAAAAATATGCATTTTCAGCTGTTTTTCTCATTATATTATTGTCATATGATTATTGTGATTATCATATTTATCATAATAATTTGGAACTCAGGCAGAAAAAGAGGGAAGATTCAATAACCCAATGGACCCTGCTTTTCCATATTTAAGATTGACCATTCTAAATTTTGTAGGTAAAAAAACTCAAAGACACCTGTGCATCTAGAAGTCGTGTATTTTGTGGTTTTATTATAAACAGCTGGATTAAAAATACAGCATGTCATTTGAAAAGCTGTCATAAACAATAAGCGTGATGCTGTCATCAGCTGCTTCTGCCATATGACAACTGTTCATGGATGTATTATATGCAGTGATTTGGATGATAATGCATTAATGTTTGTATTACTTCAAGAGTAAAGGGAAACAAGTTTGGTTAGTTACTGACATCACAAAGACAGAAGACTAGAAAATACAAAGTAAACAATGTTCTTATTTTGTACTTTACACAATTTAGGTAATATTTCATTAAAATGCTGTCAAACTGTTGATGTAATGATACAAATTTCTTTTAGATCAGTGCATCTTGAATGCTATTTAAATTTCCAATAATAGTCCATCATCAGTCTTTTAATAGTCTAGCAAACACTCCACTATAGGCATCTTTTTAAACTTGAATACATCTCCAGGCCTGAAGTAAAAAAAAAATTCAAACACCACATAGAATTTTTACTGAATAATACAAATTTATATAGGTTTTGTCATGTTATTTCAAGTTGTTTGCTTAATTAAATATAACATTTATTTATAACACGTAATTAAAATTTAACTATATTTTATTTTATGATCATATGACAATGTTCTCAATTACCTTATGGAAAATCTATTTCAAACAAAATCTAAAGTAACTAAAGAAAATATTTTCAATATAATATAAAGACATGATATTGATTTTAATTTAATTTTAAGTTGCACAAGCAAATCTCTTGCTGATTCATATTGATTGTCATGGTAATGATCACTGCTTTAACAAGAACGCTTTCTAGAATATCTATTGTTTATTGACTTAACTGTGAATGTGGTCAGTCATTTAAAATTTATACATTTGTATAAATGTACATTTATTTATTTTGCATTTTTTACTAAATTGTTTTCTACCACTGACTTCGAACAATTTGTAAATGCAACAAGCTATGTGGTGCACACGTTAATCAATAAACATCATTGTTTTGACTCAAGTTTCTTTAAATGAAAGATCACAATAGAAGTTAGTTCAGATTATGAAATTATTTTGTTTAATGTAGCTAAAAAGTAAAACTTATTTGATGCATTTTTGTACTTTTTGCAAGCAAAGATTACAATAATATCAGTAATTAATTTTGGAGCAAAAACAATAATTTTATATTTCATGATAATGATGTTTTGCCCATGAAAGTGTTCAATACATGTGTGTGGAATACATTTCAACTTAAAATGAGTACATAACATTTAAATAAGAATTTTACTCAAATGTAAAATATTGGTTTTGTTTTTATTCTTTTCCATTTGATTTTAGTTTTATATCATTTGGATGATTATGTAAAAAAATATAATTTACTTTTTTTTTATATTAGACTAATGTTGAATCCTTCAACATTGATGAACCTATACCTAGCTTCAACATTAAGATTTCTGGTGTTGACACTGGTTTAGGGCAATGTGAAAAACGTCATTTGACACTATGTTTGAGGTTAGTAATGTAATCTAAATTCCATAGTGTATTGTATTGCATTCTAATACATAAGTATGTATAAAAAATATCCAGATGTGTTGGTATATGTTTTTATCAATTCCTAAAATAGTTTTGTGAATATATTTGTTTTTACTGTTTTTGTATGCTGTGTTTATGTAATGAAACTATTATATCACTTTTCAATCAAGAAGTTGGAAATATTTATATTTCATGCTATTTATATATTGGTATTTATTGCATTTAGTTTTACTTTTATCTATAATTTACATAGTGAAAATTACAGGTTTGCCCATCTAAGCATTAGTCTGATTTTTTCTCACTTGCTCCTGTCACTTATACCTCACTCAATTGCCCTTGGTGATATTTAGCTTGTGCACTCTCCACCTATGACAAGGCAACTTATATCCTGGTACTGTATATAAGCACCTCCTTCAGATAATGTTGTCACTTTCTATCAATAAAGCGTCACTAACGGGTTTCCCAGTATTATGATTCTTCAGAGATATTTTGAGCATTCTCCATGTTACTTAGTCAATTTACGTACAAAAAAAAATGTTGTTTTTTTCAGTTGGCAAGCCTAATTATGGTATGAATTCTCTGACTGTTATTTCAGGCATGGAGGAAAATAAGTTCTCTCCAATCCAATCTTTGATATCTAGTGTAGCAGAACAATCGGGGAGGTGGGGTGGGTGGGATAGAGTCACTCTCGGTTGAGACTATCAGTGGTCTTATTCACAGTGAGATGGAAACATATAATCGGCCCTGTGGTGTTTTTCCAGGGGCTTTGAGGTTACAGTTGAGAGTGATCATTGACATTCTGAAGAGAATATAAATTCGTTTTTTCCTGCATCTTTTTTTAGTCTGTTGGCCTTTCAGTTTCCCTGTAGGACAGTGGTGAATTTGTAGACTAAATGTTGTTCCAATCACTGGTAATCAACATAGTCTTTAAATGACATTTAAAAACAAAAAGGAGGCCACTTTGGGATAAGTTGCCTTTAATTTGTTTTCTTCAGTTTCTTTATCAAGTGTGATGTTTTAGTCTTTCCCTATTTACTTTTGAGCCTGCACCTCACTTGCAGGCTGAAAGGTCTGGAAGCAAATTTTTAGTTTTCTCTCCATCCATGCACATTGTGGTTCGTTCAGGGAGGTTTACTTCTCAGTTACATGAAGGGACAGTTATACCTTACCTGACACAGTTATGGGAACTTCTTGATTTAGCATTCCACAGCTAGGAAGCATTTTCTGACTCTCAAATAATACATCTGCTCCTCACATTTTAGGGTTCTAAGGCAGAGTTTGTAGTTAACCTGAATAGATCAATGTCCCCTAATGTCTACAGACTTACAACTCTAACATTTTGTTTTCCTTTCACTTCAATTTGTTGGAAGAATCTCAGGATCATCAACTTCATTGATGATGAGCTGGAACCATATTTAGCATGCACATTGCTCTAATTATTGGCTTATACATTCAACCCAGTTGTCGTTGGCATCTTGAGTTTCATTGGCTCCTGCAGGGGGCCATAATTCTTCTCCTGTTGGTGGGTCCCGACTCACAAATTCAGCCCCTCAGTACATTGGTACTTAGAATAGATTCTGTCTATATCTACAAATTCCGATGCTTGGTCGGATCACTGCCAGTGACTTCGGTGATTATTGTGTTACTTCAGAGTCTGTGGCAGTTTGGCTCCGAGAATTTCTGGACGTGTGGTTACATTAACCACAGATCCAGGAGCACTACAGGTTATTGAGTCAAGATTAGTCGTTCGGTTCACATCTTCACCATTATTATCCACCCAACCTGTAGTATTTCCATCTCCCACAGATCCTTGGGATTTGAAACTGAGATCTAGGGCTATCAGAGTTTGGTTGGTCTGGGGGTGGTGAGAGAGTCGTGCTTGTTCTTCCAGGGTTTTATTCCCGACAGTGGTGAGCTTAAGAAGACGGGAGATTGATATCCAGTAATCTATCTTTCTCATCTATATAAATACCTAATTTCTCCAGTTTTCATAAGTTACTCATTCCTCAGTCTGAGTTGACATTTTGTAGTCGGCTCCTATCTGCACATTACCATAGTGGTGGCATCCCACCACTGTTGGTGTTTTTTGTGCACAATGGTTAAGTACTGTAGTTCCAGGTTTTACATTCAGATGGCATAAGCTTCACATGGGTTTTGCTGTATCATCTGAGGTTTTTTTTCTCATCACCTCCATTCCATTGTATTGTGCACACACCATTCCATAGACAACTAGTTACTGCTGGCACCCTCTCATCAATTGTCAGGACATAACATCCTGATTATACTTTCAGAAACAACTAAGGCAGGCTTCATTTTCAGGGCTACATCTATTCTTGCTCCAATTCAATGTGTCATTAGTCTGGGTATCTTTTATTTTTCATCCCGTATCTCAGTCAGGCTCGACTGACTCCCATCCAATGCAACGCTGTGGAACAGGAAGCACCTCTCCTTCTCCCACTGCACAGATGGTTCTTTCTCTTCTGGGAATGTGGGCAACACTCGCATCTTTCATGCCTATGGGATGAGAGCACAAGAGATCCTTTTAATGGTCTTTATGCAACCAAGTGATCATAAACATCAATTCACTAGATTCCCCAGTTTGCTTAGTCAGGATCATTCTTCGATCTTGAGGTGCTGTTAAGTTGGGACACTACTAAGATATGGTTTCCTCTACCACCACCTTGTCCAGAGATCCATCTTTTCACAAATGCCTTGCACTGGGATGGGGTGCATATACCAACATGGGTGATGAGGCTTCCCTACACAATGTTTTAGTCCTTCTCATTAATCAAAAGGTAATGCTTCATGGTCTAGGTTTATTTTGGGAAAATCGTCAGGCTTCACTCTGACAATTCTATAGAGGTGTCTTGTGTTTCTCACCAAGGTAGTACTTGGTCCAGTGCTACTTGTTTACAAATCTCGGATCTTCTTTCTCAGGACCTTTCCAATCTTATCACCCTACTAACTTGCCATGTTCTATGGGTGATGCCTGTGGTAACAGGTCAATTGACTCAATCCAAACAGATTTTACCAACAGAATAGATGCTGCATCGCAAAGTTCTTTTGGACTGGCTCTCAATTTGCATCTCTGATTGGTGGGTTGGCCTCTCATTGGATCACCCACCTACTGGCAATTTGGTCTACAGCACCTCATCTTTGGGCTTTGGCAATGAATGCATTCCATCAAGACAGATTGAGGTTACAACTCTAAGACTTCTCTCCAATTCATATGTTACCCAGACAACTAAACATGATTTGTTCCAACCCACTATCGGGTGCTGTTAATAGCACCAAATTGGCAGCTCCATCCTGGTTTCTGCTTCTGCAGTATCTTACAGAGTGTCCACCTCTTCCACTATTTCTTATGCCATCTCCATAGAGGCAGCAATGATCTGACATAGTACACCCTGCTATCCATAAGCTGAAGCTTCAGAAGTAGATTTTGTGCAGTCCTTTGCATGGCAAGGGGGTTGAATTTCTAATGTTGCCATGTATCTGTCTCAGTCTTTGCTTAATCCCACAATGGACACATTTCTCACTAATAGTGTCAATAATGGTGTATTGAGAGGAGGTTGAACCCACTTCAATCAGAAGTGCCAACCATAACTTGTTTTTTAACCTTGATCTGTATAAGGCTGCCTTATGGACTACTGATCGATACTTGTGACTAAATATTCTTTGAGTCTCCAGTACTTTCCGGATTCCTCAAGTCACTTTATGTCATTTATCTCAAATGATCATTCCAGTTACCTAACAGGTATATTGAGGTTACAATACATGCCCTTTCCAACACCTGTTTGTGACCTAATTCTTATATGCCATATATCCTTGTTAACTGAAGGTTTATTTTTCATTGTGGCTGACTTACAGACATTACCGGGTCAGAGTGGTTTGCACTGTTTGTCCACAGAGCGCTTTCTCTTTCTATCTACATCTTCAGGCCGGTTTTTCTTCCCCAAGACATTGTCAGACAGGGAAAGGGATAAATCCTTTTCACTTATTCATCTGATCACTATTTCTTACTTTTATGTCCAATCAGATTTAAATCATTGTCATGTTTAGTGAGGGTCTTGGAGGTTTTATTGCCTGCACTAATGTCTTTAGAGATGATAGACAACAACTTTTTATTCTAGGCTCTCTCTAAAGGTGTGGAATCTTTTGCAAGTCATGTCTAATCAGGTTTGTCACACTTGTATATCCTTAGTGGTCCCGTCAAATTACCCACTGGAGGTCATTGTGCAGCCTGGTACATGGACCTCCCTTAATACTTTTATCTCACATTATTTTCATGATCTGTCAGGATCTTCATTTGAGTATTTTTCCCTACCCACTCTAGCTATCTGAACCATTTCTGCTAGATTATATAGAAGGTTGAGTATTTTCATTGCTACCTTTTAGGGTCCCTTAACTTGTTTTCACAGGATCCCACTATGTAGTGTTGCCCAGGCAGGTGTACTTTTATCAAACCAATTCTGCACTACCAACCACTAATTCAATATACTTTATACAGTTTGCAACAGGTTCTGTAAAAATGAGGTGTTCCATAAGACCACCTAGAGGCTGACCAGATCAGTTGGTATTACTATGCTATGCTGGACTGCTACTTAGGAACTATCATGAGTAAAGCATAAGAGAATGCTGCCTGTCCCTGCCGATCATTGGATTGAATAAATTGGGGTCGGTTTGCATTTAAAACTTTTGGGAAATTGGTTCACCCATTGCACTGTTTCCAGAGGACTTTTCCTCAGGTCTACTCAATGTGCATTACCCCCAGGTTCTACTAGTAGAGGTAGGGAGTCCTTATCACACCTGTTTCCAGTCACTGGGATGATGTACAGAGGCTTCTCCTCCAGAGCATTAGAGTGAATTCCTCCACTCTTGAAGAAGAGGGCAAAATGGGGTGCCCTCCTACTTGGGTACCTGGATGCTTTTTCCCATATGTCGGTAGGAGTGGCACCAGCCTACATGGGAGTCTACTCATAATTCTGGTTCAAATTTGATGCTTGGCTATCTGGTTAGCTTGAACATGGCCCTTCTTTCTGATCAATATTGGTTCAATTCATTGTTCACGGAAGAAAGTCCACTATCTCCTCGTAATTCAAACACAGAATTGTCCCATCCTTGGCCTTTGGTTGAGCACAGTTGTTCCACAACCTACCCATAATTCTGGGGACAAGTGGAATTTACATTGCCCACCGGTTAGGGATTGAAGATGAGTGTTCATAATTTCAGCCCAGATGAGTTCTGTTTTCTCAGGGTGAGTAAAGCATACAAAATCCTATCATTCCCAGCCAGGAGTGTTGCCTTTCAGACTTCTTCAGGTTGAGGAGAAGGTTTGTCCACTTCAGTGTTGCTTACTTTCTTGTCATGATTCTGGTAGCTTGGAACACATCACTTTATGGCTACAGGTTGGGTTCCTCTTATAAGTATACATATTTATTTTGCAGTCCAACTGCCCTAGCTACCAACATGGGATATAGGGACCATGGCCATTTAATTCCAACTCTGAATAGTAGAACCTTGGCTATCTGATTAGGGCCTGGCCTATAGTGATAACAAATCAAGTAAAATTCCTACCACAATACAGTAATTAAGTTCTGGGTGAAGTACATACCTATTCTGGATTTAGTGTGATTCCTCTACTGGGGTGCCAATCTTTTATGAACACACCCATGATCTATGCAGATGCTTTCTGTATGAATAATGTCCTTCCTGACTCCTCCACTTTATCAATGTGGGATTCTAGCTATAAGTGTGAGAGGATGTAAGTATGTTTTGGAAGTTAACATTTTCTTAAATCTAAAATGTATTTGCAATAATACTTACCACTTCTCACACTCTCCCGCCTTTCCTCCCCACTACGAGCCAGTGTTAGAGACTTTTGATTGAGTTTTTTTACTTTTCCATGCCTCTCTTATAAAATTTCAAAAGTTATTTGTTAGCAACAAAATAGTTGCACATTTTCTGTGTTGACTTGTTTAGCATCACCCATTGCAAATTTATAAAAAAAAAGTTTATAAACTTGTAAAGTTTACATTATCGTCACTAAATAAACTGCATATCTCTTGTCGAAATTGGAATATCATAAAATAACAGTAATGTAACACTATATTTTGTGAAATTTTTTCCTCAGTAAAAATATAGGAACTTGAACAAATTTAATTGGTTTGTTTTCAAAACATTTTTATACTAATAAACATGAATTGTACTGTTATTCTAAGTAGCTAATTGCTTTTTTTGTTGTAGATAAGACTTGTATTGCACATTTAGCTTGAGATATATAATCCAGTTAAATATTTTTAGAAGTACTAATGTTTTTTCATTTCATTGGAAATATATACTAAGAATTGATTAAATACACATTTTTAGCCGTACAAATACCACTGCTTCTCCATCTATGGTTGTGGCTGATATCAAGATGCCTTCAGGATTTGTTCCTGACTACAAGAGTTTAAATGAGGTATTTTCTAAATGAACCTTTGAATGTATTATTATTATAATTGGTTTTTATTTTTAAATACACCTAAATGCAATGAAACTTGAACAGGTGGTGTTTCATGGGTGATTTTGCATGGAAAATAATTTCCATAAACCTATATTGATATCAATATGATTTATTATTTCAATCTATGCATTATAACACTACTGACATTTAATTTTCATATTTATCAGTAACCTGAGTATTTAGAGCCTATTTGTAGGTTCAGTCATTAGATCAAACCATTATATGTGTGTATTAGTTTTCTATTTTACTTGGTGTAAGTATTTTATTTTGAAAAATATCATGACTAACTGTTGATGCCAATTACTAGATCAGTATATTCACTTTTGAACTAGGATTGCAAATTGTCTTAATGTATTGAATTATTAAAATCACAGCAGGAAACTAATATCTGTGAAAGGTTGTAGAGACATAGTTACTGAATTGTTTTTTATGCAGCTGCCTTCAGTTGATATTCAAGCTACTCTTAGCAAAATTTGCATCCTAGTAGTTAAAGTATCTTTCTGAAAATTTATTGAGTACACAAGACACTTTACCATGTCCATTTTTTAGAAAATTAACAATTACATCTTTATGATCATCTTTTACCTTCTTGTATGATGTATAATGTTTGGAATATTTTCATTTATACTTGAGAGATCAATAGAAATAATATTATAATGGTAAAAAAGTAATAGTCGAACTTGATTACTATTATAAAATTGAATATCAGTTTTCACAGTATAGAACTTTATTAGGACTAATGATGTATAATATTTCAGTACACAGTTTTCTGAAAATTACAAAGTGAGAGGTGAGATGTCCTTCCTCCAAATATCACTAAATACTTAAGATATTTTTATTCTAAGACTAACAGTGACTGTAGCATATTAAATAAGTTATAGCATTTTCCTCTGTATCATGAAACATGAGCTTTCAACAGCATCATAGTTCTTCTTGTAATCTGAGATGAAGTATGTATAACCTAAGTCTATTTAAAATTGAGACTAAATTTGAATTTCCAGTTTATTTACTTTTTGTAGGGAGGAGCTATAAACCATAGAAGTTACCTTTCTGAAGTTTAAAACAACTTTACACAAATTAATTCAAAATAACATAACAGCAACATTTGCAATAGACAAGTTCTTATTTTAATAATTACAATATTTTGGCCCATAGTATCGAGTCGTCATCAGGTAAGCATTACATTGCAAAAAAATCATCATCAAAAAGTTTGTAACTATTTTAATATTGAAACAAAAAATTTTCTACTGTAAAACTTGCTGCTACTGTATTTTTAATTAATTATTCAGTTGAGTAAGTTCCTCACTGAACATTAACTTCGTATTAAATATGCATACAGGCTTTATTTCTATATTTCCATTCTTTTCAGTCCTTTCCATATGGATATTATGTAGATGATACAACCAGTGGTGGGATTCAAATATTTTAACAACAGGTTCTCTCACTAGCAGCATGTAAAAATATTAGATA